CAAAATTTTAAATGATATTAAAATGTTTATGCCTTCAAAATAAAAATTTCTTAGAACTAACATTTGTTAACATTTTTTATGTGTATATTATGTGTTTTCGCCAATAAAGTCTGCTTGTCGAGATTTGCGCTGGCAAAACGGAAAAGTACCTTTTGTCTTTGTGTAGCGGTGATTTTTGGCGCTAAAATCGCAGCTAAACAAAGCCAAAGAAACAAGTGAAAGAACTGCACAAACTCGGTATCCATGTACCGCCAAAAATCGGCAATTTTCGCCAAAGGGGTAACAGTAAATATACTTTTACCACCTAACTTAGCAAGTTTACGCATAACATTTCTTCAATTTTATCAAACAACATTGCCATTTTCATCTGTGTGTTTTTTCCTAAAGTCCAAGTTCTAACAGTTTTTATCACAAAATTGTGATATTTATTTTTTCATAAACTGAGTATTCTCTGATGAAAGAAACCATGGTGTTATTTATGTCATCAGGAATAAAGTATAGTGCTGCAAAATTTCTGGAGGGTTCCATTCCCTTGTATCTGTTCCTAAAGTTACCGCCACAGAATTCCCATAGAAGTTTCCAAAGGAAATGAAAGATTTCTGCAAAGTAGGTTTAATGAGTGATTTTCAGGTAAATACCTAATTAAAATGTAAAAAATGGATATAATAATATCTGTATCTATATTAGATATGATACTCAATCACAAAACACGAATTTTTCAGGAATCACTCTATATACTAAAGCAACGTTCACTTTATCCCTATGGACTTAACACTTATATACATAGTCATAGAGATACTTCTAAAAAATCTATTTTCAGCCAATTTAAGCTATATTGCTGTGTGTGTATGGGTTCGTTGTGAATTGAATGCACAAGTCCGATGAAAAATGAATAAAATTTTTTTATCACAACAAATAAAACAAAAATGCTTCAATTTCCTCAGATATTCATACAATATCCCAATATCTCACAGTAGTTATCTTTTAAACTAATTCAAAATGGAGAAAGCTATTCCGATTTCACTGCGAAATCACTATAGTCAACAACAGCAGTTTTCTAAACAAAACTCAAAACAACTAACTAACTAAAAAACCGAGAGGTTTTCATGCTGCTTATGTAAGCTTTTTAAATGCAATTTCTCGAAATCAAAAAGAGATATTTATTAAATTTTAACTGCACGCACTCTTGTATTTTTAAATTTCCAGCTTAGCTTTCTCTTAATATTCGTTACGCACTGCGCTGCATGGGTAATAAAACAATTTAATTTATAATCCTACTAATACTAGCTATTTAAATACCAAATCTGTAACAGTGCCCCCTTTCCAAGTCTCGAGCAGTACTTTCCCTGGACAGGAAGCCAAACTTACAACTAAGGCATAAAAGCAATAATAAACATTATTTTACAAAACCAAACAACATGAACAATAAATGCAATAACTAACATAAACAATTCAAATGCTATCAAATACTAAATACAAATCAAATCAAATACACATTTAGAAACAAAAAGGACAATGGCCTCACACTATTTACAATTATATACACTACGTACTATGGCCATAGTAATGAGCTAACCTGTTGTAATGAACAACTTTAGAGTTCGATGACTTACGGATCCAAACCATGACATCATTCAGTCTGTTTAGGGCTGTGTACGGACCAACCCAAGGTGACTGTAATTTCAGACAGAGTCCTTTCTGTTGAGTCTGATACCACAAGCACACCTTGTCTCCTTCGTGAAATTGATGTCCAGTAGCTCTTGTGTCATATCTGTTCTTCACCTTCTCTGTCGCCAAGTTAACTCACCCTCGTGCAGAAAGGTGCATCATTTCAAACCGGGCCTGAACATCTTGGGTGTATTCCTCAGGCAGTGAAGGAACATCTGGAGGGCGACCAAACAGGAGGTCACAAGGCAGACGAAGGTCTCGACCGAAGATTACCTGGGATGGAGAATAGCCAATAGTCTAGTGTTTCTTTTCCACCCTAGTATGATTTCAGCAGCTCTCTGAGTAGGGTCTTTCCGACAAGATGTCGGCAATTTTAGGTGAGGATCCCTTCTGAGAATGGATAGTCATGTCCTCAGATGCTGAAAGCAGTTTATTGTTTTTGAAGTCTAAGGAAAAATCGTATTTCCTTAAAAAGTCCAATTCAAGTATGCATGGATCTGTAATATCCGCCACATATGCCGTGTGATGGTAGGTGGCACTTCCAAACGTGATGTTCATATATTTAACTTCCCAGTTATGTCGATCTTATCACCAGATGCAGTCTTAAGGGTAACACAGGATGGTGTCCAAATAAGTTTATCTTTAAACTGTTGCACTAAATCTCTCCGAATGATGGTAACATTAGCTCCTGTGTCAATGATCATATTGCAAGGAACTCCATCGGATATGCCCATTGATGGACAGTCTGTTACTGTTGCCATTCACTGTAGAAAACTTGAGCTTTTAAAAACTAGGTTTTTCATTATCTGCCAACCTCCGTTCCTCGATATGGTCATTAATTTGTTTCCTGCGTCGTTGCTGAAAAATGGTCTCAATTTCCATGCTCTGAGGTGTGCTGCAGTTCCTTCGCACGTGGCCTTCAGCTCCGCAGTTCCACAGTTCCAGCACTTTGGTGGCTTGTCACTCCTTTTCCTTCCCATGACATTTAATTGTCTGTTTAACTTGTCTCTCTTATTTTCCGTGCTCTGGAGTGTTCTGCAGTTACTTTGTATGTGGCCTTCAACACTGCAGTTCCAGCACTTTAGGATTGGTTTCTTTTCACTTCTGTTCCGTCTCAAGCCACTGATTTGTCTGGTTTTATTTTCATTACCTTGGGGTGTTCTGCAATTCCATCATAGGTGACTTTCAGTACCACATTTCCAACACTTTAGAGCCACTTTGTTCTCACTCCTACTCCATATCAAAGCGTTAACTTGTCTTGATAAATCATCTAAATGAGCCATCAATTGTTCCACTGGCTCATGGACCGCACAGCTCTGACTGGGTAGCGATCTCTACGAGTTGCTTGCTGGGCTGCCTCGAATTTCACGGTGTACAACAGAGTGCTTTTTATGTCTGTAACATTCACCATTTGTAGAGCCTTCTACATTTCGGGATCTCGGATGCCACCGATAAAGTACTGCACCGACAGGATTTCCCTCGTTTCTCTGTGGCACTCCGTAAAGGCAAGGTGGGTCAGCCTTTCAACATCTGTGGCGAGTTCCTGGAGTGATTCAGTGGGCTTCTGTTGGCGGGATTTTAATTGAAGCCTACTGTAATCTTACAAACATTTATCCCAAAGCACAGCTCCAAATGTGCCGGACAGAACTTCGAAATCTAGCCTTTCGTTTTCTGGGAGAATAAGAAGAATATCTGCTGCGTCTGCTCTCAGAGGAGTGGTGAGATGACAGCCTTAACTTGGGAATCTCATCCATTTGCATTTGCCACTATAGAAAACTGTGTTTTATATACTTGCTGGCTGGTCTTTCCATCTCAAGTGGATAGCTTCAGAGACGGACGAGCAGGCATGGGTAAAAATTTGAAAGCACCAGAATTGCTCTCTGCCATCACTACGAACTTCTTTAAAGTATTAATTTCTTTCGCAACTGCTGAAACCCTGTCATCAGTTTGTTGTTTGATTTGGTGTAGGATGGCAAAAATCCTTCCTTCGATTCATTGTTCCACAACAGAAACTCTCTCTTATATTTGATATTTGACAGAAGAAGCTCTTTCTTCTATTTGTTCTTTTACTGAAGAAACTCTTTCTTCTATTTGTCCAACTTTATTTTCAAAAGTGTCAATTCTGCCTTCCATAGCCTCAAATTTATTTTCTATTATACAGGTAATCTCTATTTTTTTTTTATTTATTTATTTCCTTTTGACCTATTTTCATTTCTGCTTTAACATCTTCCTGAACAACCTTTATTTCTTCCTTAACAGATACTTGAGCAGCTTCATCTTTTCTTGGTTGGCATCCATCTTCTCTTTGACGGATTCTATTTCTTCTTTAACAGAATCTTCCATCTCTTCTTTAAATGAAGCAGAGGCTGCGATGAATTGCTTTAACTGTTCTTCCATTGCTCTTGTGATTGGCATTCAAAATCCCACTTCTGACACCAAAAAGTGTTGCGTGTGTACGGTTTCATTATGAATTGAATGCACAAGTCCGATGAAAAATGAATAAAATTTATTTATTATCACAACAAATAAAACAAAAATGCTTAAATTTCCTCAGATATTTATACAATATTCCAATATCTCACAGTAGTTATCTTTTAAACTACTTGAAATGTTCAACAGAACTAATTCAAAATAGAGATAGCTAGTCCGATTTCACCGCGAAATCACTATAGTCAACAAGAGCAGTTTTCTAAACAAAACTCATAAAACAACTAACTAACGAAATGAGAGGTTTTCATGTTGCTTGTATAAGCTTTTTAAATGCACGAGAATGTTCTAGCAATTTTTCAAAATCAAAACGAGATACTTATTTATTAAACGTTAAATGCACGCGCTCTTGTATTTTTAATTTTCCGACTTAGCTTTCTTTTAATATTCGTCACGTGCTGCACTGCATGGGGAATAAAACAATTTAATTAATAATTCTACTATTATTAGCTATTTAAATACAAAATCCGTAACAATATGTAATAAATAATTTTTTGGAATTTAAGTTATTTTTTTTCTGTAAAAACTCGGTAAACTATGCCAAGGTGTTAATGTGCAAGTATAAAAAAATAGCCTATGTATAGTCTCATAAATTTGTCTGGTATTGTATTTTTCATAATGTAATATAATCTTCATGTTATCGTTATCCATGTCATATATTTGAGCCTTAATTTTGTATTGATTTTTAAAAATATGGATGAAAGAAAACAACATGTGTTGAAGTGTGAATGTACAGTATTATACATGTATACTTTTGTCTCTGTCTCGATCTGTATCTATCTATCTATCTATCTATCTATCTATATCTATCTATCTATACACACACACACTTTTCTCATTTCCAGATTCCTTTGTAAATAGCCAGGAATGGACTCTGAGTCGTTCAGTTCCAGACCTAAGGCTGGTAAGTTGCCTTTTACATATTTCCTTTTGTGTTACTTGCCTTATGATTAAAATATTGCATTTTCTTTTAATTTGAGTGTAATTTTAAAATCGAATACTCAAAATTTGTCATAAAGAGGGGGAAAAATAAAAATAAAATAAACACAACATTCATTATAAACAGGGCTTAATTTCTAAAATCAGAAATGCTGGAGGTCTATGGAAGGCCATCAAAAGAAAGGAAAGATAAATAATTAAAATAACTAATAACTAAAATAATTAAGTTTAAATTGAAATTCAATAAAATATAAAGATATAAATAAAAATTTAATCAATTATTAACCCGCTGAGTGTTATGACCGGGTTTATCCAGTCATCAGAAGTTTTGCTACTTGGTATATATTAGTTTACAATTTAAGATATTTTACTTTCTTACTTTCTTTAATAATGTAAATATCATCTTAATGAATGTAAGTTTATGAAAGTGCAGACTAAAATAAGTAATTATACAAACTAAATTAATAAATGCTCTTTAAATACTGGTTTTCATGATGGATCTAAAATCCTGTGCCACTCAGAGGGTTAAATTCATGATAAATAGTTTAATAAAAGAAATAAAACATCAGACTTCATCTTATTTGGGGCACTGGCTGGATTTACAATTTCATTCGAAAGCTAAGAAGTAACTCAGCCAGTTTCCGGTTCAATTTAAATGAATATACTGTATAACATACTACAGTCAAAAGTCCTTAATCCGGACTCGTCAGCACTTCGGCGATTCCGGATTATCGGTTTTCCCGGATTATAGATCATCATTTTAAATCTGGTAAGATGGCATGCAGAAATTATAAAATTAAAAATATAAAACCGTAATTTATGAAATAAAGAGCAATTATGATCTAAAGGGTATCAAAATTTACCAACAAAAAAAAAAAAAAAGCTTAATATTTATTTGTTTACTTTACTAAGCATTTCTTTCAACGCGTGCATGCATAAAGCATACATTACGCATAGTCGAAATTAGAGAACTGCAACCAGAAAACTATTTGATGTGTATTCGTGATATTTATAATGATGGGGAATTTGATTTAAATCATATCAAAGACGGAGTACATTGACATGAAGTACTACATTTAGTAAGGAATTATAAGCAAAATAAAATAAAAACATCTGCTCTGAAGATAAGGATAGTGCTGACAGATCAACTTCCAGTTAACTGCGCTCTGAGACGTCCCCCCTCGCAGAGCAGCAGCGTGAAATTGATAAACAGATTTTGGAATTGTTAGAGAAACAATTTAAATTATCCGTTTTATTAAATTATCCTTTATCCAATTTAAATTATCCTTTATCCATTTTTTTGCAGCAATTTCACTTTTTGTTTGATGGACATCGAAACATGCTTTCGCTTTGTAGATTCTTTGGCAGCTCCAAAATCGGAAATTCTTTTTGACATAATCAAAAGTTCAAACTTACTTTTATAAAATTGCTCTAACAGTTTGCAAAAAATAAAAATCCGGATCCATTCGAAGATTAAGGAACAATGCAATCTGCAACATGAACTGAAATAGATAATTAGATAATTTTAGCGGTACTATTCGGTTTTGAGGGCCGTAAAAAATCGCCAAACTATTGTTAATGCCAATGCTACCAAAAATAATTGCGGCAACCTTAATGCAAGAAATAGTAAATAATAAGTATAATAGTAAATAACTATTTAAGATTGATGTTTTAATTTAGATGAAAGGTTAATTTCATATACCGTATATACCCGCGTATAAGTCGAGATATTTTGGACAAAAAAAAAGACTTCAAAGTGGGGGGTTGACTTATATGCGGGGGCCATAAAAAATTAAAAGAATCGGAAGTTCAAAAATTTCTTTATATAATGCAGGTTGTTAAAAAGGGAAAACGCAGATTAGATGACTTATCCGTAAGCATAAGTCTTTTACAGAAGTAATTCTCAGGTTGACTGTATACGATCATTTTGTCCCGAACTAATCACAGAGTTGGATTACTTCCGTCGACCAAGTTTCGATTAAACCAAAGGCATTTTTGGCCCCCGAACATTAAAAAGCCCGAATATTACATTAATTGCTCAGTGGGTTAAAGATGCTTGAAATGAAATATCCTCTGAATGATTGATAAAATCATTTAAAAAATGTTGTATTAGCAACGAACTAAGACGGCACACAGATGATAATGCTGCTTTTGAAAGTGAAAATGATGACGAAGGCTCTAGTAGTGATTGTAACGATCCAGAGTTCGAGACTGAAAATATGTATGATGACGAGCCAATGATGACAAGAAGAGTTCTATGAAATGTTTGGCGAATCTGACCATGAATCAGACGTTGAAGATTTTGATTTTGTTTATTTACCAGGGTATTTTTTATCGTATATTTACTTTTTTTTCTCAGATGATTTGAATAAATGTAGTACTTAAAAAATATTTTCGAAAGTTTCTCACTCGATTTCGGAAGTGGGGGCGTCGATTTATATGCGGGTTTCTTATTTTCTACGAATTTTTTATGTCGAAGTGGGGGGTCGACTTATACGCGGGTATATACGGTAATACTTTTTTATTATTATAATTTATATAAAAAAGGCTAAACATGACTGAATGGAAGCGTAAGAGTAAATAACTATTTCAGATCATTATTATAATTTATATAAAAATTGCTAGACATAACTGAATGGATTATCGCTCTTTCGCTACCGAGTTATCACTAAAGCATAATTTCGTCTCGTTGGTTGTTCAAGCATAGTTTTCTATAATAATTGATGCTTTTTCTTTGAAAAAATTCTCGGTAAAGTGCAGAATCGCCCGCTTATTGTTTGCCGCTTCTTAAAAGGGTAAAAAAAAAATTGGATTTTTGTCAATTTTCTTTTACTTTTTAAGTGAAAATAGGTCGATGTGTACGTAGATAAAGTCAAAAGGTGTGTGCAGTGCCATTTTTTGTGCAATTCTGGAATTTTTTTTAAGTAGGTCGCTGTGTACATGCATACCGAGTATGTGCAATTCTTAAAAACGCGTTAAGCAGTGGATGATTGTGCACTTTACCCAAAATTCTATTGCAGACTTTTCTTCTTGGGCAATTCAAAAATTGCTAAATCCATATCAAAAAAGGATTTAAAAATTAAACTAGTATTTCAATGGCGTCTTAAGAAATATAGAACTATATAAACCTACGCAATCTGAAATCAGCGCGTACACTAGATTTGGCACTTTTGCGCATACATTTTCGCTGCAATTTTTTTACCGACCTCGAAACGGAATAGTACCATTTTAGCTTAGCTTATACCATTCGTTATACATTAAACGTGCATGCATAAATGCATATGTGCATGCGTAAAGGTATATGCATTTATGCATGCACAGAATATTTGTAGCTTTAAGGTCCAGATTATAGATCATTCCGGATTATGAACATCCGGATTAAAGACTTTTGACTGTATTTCAAGGAATGAGGGAAACAAAAAGCCTCTTTTTCCAGCACACCAATGAAAAAAATAAAACAGTTAAAACGTCACTGATGAGAATAGACAGAATATTAGAAACAATATTGAGAAGATAAAAGAAATTTTAATGGAGAAATATAGCTTCAAAAATGAAGAAGAATACAATGCTTTCTGACCACAACATCCTGCTGATATAATTCTAGTTGTCAAGCAGAATGCGCTTGTCCCCCCCCCCAAATCTCCAGAATCCAGAATTCAATCTGATGACAACATGAGAGCAAACATAAGGTCCGCACAAGTGATAATTTTTGTCCCTCCTATTTCGTTGCATAGTTCATGCCTGCAGAAGCTCTGTAATAAGAGGTCACTAGTGCTAGATAGACACTTTTAGTACTTTCAGGAACAAAACATTTTACCCGGTGTTATCTATTCATTCCACTAGCTGGAAAATAAGCCTTTGACATGTGGATGGAGGCTTTCCTTTTCTCTAAATTCTTAACCTCTGTCAAAGTTTTTGTTCTCCAGAAAAGCCATGAATTCGGAAGTTATAATTGCTTTTTGAGCCATATTTATTTTTAAAATAAAATTTGTCTTCTAAAACTGTGTTTCACTTACAGCAAAGAAAAGGACTCCAGTGATCTCTGGTGTAATTTAAGCTCTGATTATAAATCGAATTATCTAATAGTTTTACTTTTATGCTCATTTGCTCAGTTTCTTAATCAATTAAAAAATGGAAGAAATTTTGACAGACTGGAAAACTATTATCGATTCAGAAACACTGTCGCTTAAAAATTTTTCCTATATAAACAGATTACTAGAGGATAAAAGTAAGGCATCAAAAAGGGAGAGTTAAAAGTATGCAAATTTCAGAATGCTTGATATGCAACTTGTTGCTGAGGCAGATGGGATTAGCCTGACAAGGATTTTTTCATTTGTATGACAGGAAGATCAGAATAAGTCCATAAATTTTATCCTGACAAGTGCAGGACTGCATATGTTTAACGTAGCCCTTGCCATCTAATAGACTGACTGGCCAGAAATCCTGGTCCATCTGTATCCCAGTTTTAACTGTGTCAGTGCCCGTGTGGATAAGACTGCTGAATTCCAGCAGTTCAAACTCAGGCAAACATGCTACAGGCCAGTTGGATGGCTGGTTTTTATGGCTTTCCCCATGTGTAATGGGAATTCAGTTTTTAATCGAAAGTTCTCAGTGAAGAAATTGCTTTCATTAGGATGTAGACCTCATGTGCTTTGCCATAATCAGATAACTTAAGGTAACGCATAATTTTAACAGAGAATTCCCTAGAAAAGGAATCCAAGTATCTACCACTCCTCTTCCCATGCCACCAACCTCTTAAGAGGACTTTTGGCTTTTGGCTCATAAGTGCCTCCCATACCATGAAGACAGTGTACACTTAAAAATATCCGAGCCTTCTCCAGGATTCAGACCTGTGCCCAGTAGTACAGGAGCCAAAATAGCTAGGCAGTGTACCGACTGTGGTGGTGACCAGCAGAGCTGGCAGAGAATGTGTAACATGTGCCACCGCACTGAGAGGCAGAATTT